AGAAATGAACACAGGACAGAGTGTCAACCTCCATCCCAACGCTTCATCCACACTGGTGTTCCCACTGACTTTTCTGGACATCCTGGAAAATGAGGGAAAAGAAACACAGGAGACAGCATCCAACCCCCAATCCATCATCCCATCAATACTGGTCTTCCCACTGTCTTCCTCAGAACATCCTGGAAAGTTAGGGAACAAGAGTACAGGAGAGGGTTCAATCTTCATACATACCCGTCTTCCCACTATCAGCCTCTGGCCAGCCTGGAAAATTAAGGAAAATACAGTCCAATGTCAATCCCAACACCTCATCCATACCCATCTTCCCACTGGCAGCCTCTGGACTGAGGCAGGAGACAGGAGTGAGCATCCAAGCTCCATTCCAACTCCTCATCCATACCATCTTCCCACTGGCAGCCTCAGGACATCCTGGAAAACAACAGAAATGAACATGGGACAGAGCATCAACCTCCATCCCAACACCTCATCCACGCTGGTCTTCCCACTGGCTGTTTTCCAGACATCCTAGACAGCATCCAAACTCCAAATCCATCTTCCCATCTATATCGGTCTTCCCACTGTCAATTCTTTTGGACATCCTGGAAAATTAGGGAAAAGTTACAGGAGGGGGTAACCAACATCTATCCCAACTCCCAGCCATACCAGTCTTCCCACTGGCTGCCTTTGGCCAGCCTGGAAAATGGAAAAGGGAAATGCGAGACAGGAGAGAGCATCCCACCTCTATCCCAACTCCTTATCCATTCTGGTCTTCCCACCGTCAGCCACTGGATAACCTATCTTCTGTCTGCCTCTGGACATTCTGGAAAACTACAGAAATGAACACAGGACAGAGCGTCAACCTCCATCCACACTGGTCTTCCCACTGGCTGCCCCTGCACTGGAGTCCATCTTGACCTCTGACCCCTGACATTTTGGTGTTTGAGCTCAGAGAGCAGGAAACGCTGCTGGAGACAGGAGAGCCCATCAATCCCCATTCCATCTTCCTATCCACACCTGTCTCCCCAGTGTCAGCCTCTGGACATTCTGGAAAATTAGGGAAAAAAGAGACAGGAGAGAGCATCAACCTCCATTCCAACTCCGCCTCCATACCCATCTTCCCACTGTCAATTTTATGGGCATCCTAGAAAAATGAGGGAAAAGATTATAGGAGAGAACATCCAACCTCTATCCCAGCCATACTGGTCTCTCCACTGTCTGCCCCTGGACATCCTGGAAAATTAGGGAAAAGGAAACAGGAGAGGGTTCAATCTTCATACGTACATGTCTTCCCAGTGTCAGCTGCTGGACTTATTGGAAAAGGGGAACGAGAGACAGGAGAGAGCATCCCACCTCCATCCCAGGACATGCTGCTGTAGGCTGCACAGCTGTGAGAGCTGGTCCGTGTGTCTGAGGGCAGCAGTCTGGCTCTGCAGTCTCTCTGTGCCTTGTCATCTGTGTTCAGCCCAGCGCTCATCTGTCACTCAAGATTTTGTTAATTCAACGATAATACTTCACCAGGCTCTAATATCAATGCTAGTAACTTTATAACAGTTCTCCTCTCTCACTAGTAGGGTTGTGTATTCATGCCCTGAGTGTGACACAGGAGTGACAGGACTAACCTGACCCTGTGCTCAGGCTGGAGGTTGGTGTTGGACTTGGGTACGAGAGTGTAGTATCAACAACACACTGACCAGGTCCTTGGGGGCGAGAGACAGCAGGAGGTCAGGACACAGCCCTGAGGGTCACCCCTGGAGCCCCGATAGGAGGAGTCCACTGGCTCTCTGCCTGGAGCTCATCTCCAAGGAGCAGCCTGAATCAGGGTCACCTGCAGCTCTTCATTGTCATAGTCATCCTCACAGGCTCCAGTAGGCAGGAGATCGGGACACCCTGGATGTCTCCCCGAGACGACTCCTACTCTGTCCCCTCGGAGTCTGCGGATCCCAGATTGGTCCGATCAGCCCCGATCATGTAAGACCAGCGTCGCCTGCGAGGGACAGCCAGTGAAGGAGAGACTCACCTGGTCTGCACTCACCTGCCTGGCGCCTCGTGCCCTTCAGTGCTGATGGGGTACCCTGTCCCCTCCTGTGCTGACCGGTCGAGAACACCCTCTGGACTTCTAACTGCAGGTCTGGGGGTGCCCTCTCCTGCGTGGTACAGGGTCTGACCTGGCTCCTGTTGGGAATAAACATGCCTGAAGGCAGCCTGTGCTCCACCGAGTCCCGACTGCTCCGGTCCAGAGCTGCTGTTCTGGTGACCCATCCTGGAAAGACACAGGCGTGTTGTCCACAGGCTCTCTTATCCCTTCCTCTCCTTGTTTGGGGGGTTCCGACACCCCTGGGCTCCTCTTCATTGTTGTGGCACCACTGGGGTCCTCCTCCTCCTTATTCTGATACCCCAGGGCTCCTCCTGGTCAGCCTGAGTCTTTGGGGGGTCCAGGCACTGGGCTCCTCCCTCCTGGCCAGCCCGAGTCTTCGGGGTTCCGGGCACTGGGGCTCCTCCCAGAGTCGAGGTCCAGGAGGAGTTTCTTCCTGTTGGCTTCTCCCAGATCTCCCAGACTCCTCAGGCCTGAGCCGGGCTGGGAGGAGGGAACCTTCCCCGAGATCCTGGAGTCCGATGTCCAGACGACACGACCGGAGAGATGGAGCCGATGGGAGAGGATGTGGGCGTCGGGGCTCCTGGTGTCTGACCGGGGGAGAGCTCCAATGTCAGGGTGTCTGTCCTTTCTCTTGACTTGAAATTTTCCACAAATAATTCGGTAGCCTGATACCCCCACTCTCTGTCTCGCCCAGCAGATACCCCAACACCCGCTGCTCTCATCAAGACAATGATCAGCTCACCTCACTGTCCCTCCTCTCTAATTACATTCCCTCTTCTGGGTTCGGCAGTCTTCTCAGGAGCCCACCTATTACCAAAACACAGGGATTTATCTGTACAGTGAATAACAGACAACACACTGAATACACCGTGCAGTGGTGATTACAGTGAACACCCAGTACAGTGATGATTACAGCAAACACCCAGTACAGTGATTATTAATACCCAGTGCAGTGATTACAGTGAACACTCAGTACAGTGATTATTATAGTGAATATCCAGTTGAGCAACTTTTAGTGAACACCCAGTATAGCGACTGTCATAGTGAATATGGAGTTCAGTTATTATACTGATACACAGCGCAGAGATTATTACAGTGAATACCCAGTACAGTGATTATACAGCATACCCAGTAAATTGACTATACCGAAAACCCAGTACAGCGATTGTCCCTCACTGAAAACAGTTCAGTGATTAGTATATTGAATACCCAGTACAGTGATGATACTGAACACCCAGTATGGTGATTATTCCAGTGAACACAGTACAGTCATTGTCCCTCATAATGAAAACAGAGTTAAGTGATTATTATACTGAATACCCAGTACAGTGTCTGTCCATCACACAGAATAAGCAGCACATTGAACAGCCAGTAATCTCCTATTACAGTGAACACTGGGTCAGTCTGAGCTGTGCTGCCCCCTGCACAAGACATGTCCTGAGGTCAGAGTAGACGGTGGTCTCGCCCTCCCTGGGGACACCCTGTCCTCTTTGGGGTCCTGCTGCCACCTCTGGGAAACTCAAAATAACTGACATTCATGCAAAACATAACCTGGTGTCCAAGAAACAATGGTTCTGACTGAGGCAATCTTATTAGCAAATACACTCTTATGGATTTTAAATGATTAGATCTCCCCCTGAAGTAAGAAGAAATAGCACACATCTACAGTCTAGGTGCTGATTTAAAAGATCAGCCTGTAAAACAAACCTGACAGGACTGAGCTTTCAGGGAAAAGCTGTGGAGTGAAAATGACTCAAGAGAGAAACAGAACTGAGAACAGTCCCTCTGTCTCAGCTACACTCTGACTCTCACTCATGTTCATGTGTATCAGCAAAATCTGTTGTTGTTTTGAGGGTGTCATGTAGCTGCCTCTGTAGAAATGTTTTTCTTTTTTGTTTAACGATGAAAGGATCTACAAATACCACACAAAATAAAGTCTATTGCTTTCATCTTTCGGTTGTTTTTATATAATGAACTATTTACACTATGCCAGCACAGATAACACAAACGCCACCTTTCAAAGAAATAATGTCAGAGACCTGTTTTATTGATTACTTTTAGAGCAGCTGTGTGCAGCTTTTGCCATTTAATGCCGTAAACAAATATAATTCTCTATTATAAAGCCATTGGGTATTTCTTGTGGGTCAGTATTATTATATCCAGAGTTGAAAATGTCATTTGACAACACAAAATACTTTCTTTCTAGCATTTAGTGAGGTTTGAAAACTCATGTTAAAGCACCGGTTTATCACGTTAAAAAAATAAACTGAACCAAAAAATTGATTTTGTGTATAAAACTGACCTGAAATATCCAAATCTGCACATCCCTATTAAGACTTTAACACTATCAAGAAGTACACACACTGGTGGGTCTTTAATATTAAACAGCTCTTAACAGACATAGCAGACTACATGTGTGTATTTGCTTAAAACACTACAGTTTCCAGTTCCCCAAACATATTGTAATCATTTCTCAAAATAACACAAATGGCTCTAAACACGAGTATTAATTGCTTTGAAAACAAACCATTTTGTAATAAACAAATGAACAGTTCCCTGTCCCCTCCTGTGCTGACCGGTCGAGAACACCCTCTT